CAGTTTGCTAATTGAGCTGATGAGAGTCACCCTGGAGTCCAGCCTCGTCTGCTTCAAGGGAAGAACTTTCGCTCCACGTAGCGGTATACCAACTGGTCTTTCGCCGGCCGTCATCTTCGCAAACATGCACATGCACAGTTTCGACGTTTACTTTCTCGCGAACGGAGGGGGGAGGATAGATCATTATTTCCGCTTCATCGATGACGCTTTCATGTCAGACGACATGCAAGATGAAGAAATCGACACGCTGGCGAACTCATGGCACAGAGACGTACAATGGCTCAGGACAGGCAGGGACATAGTCACCTTCCTGGATCTGAACATCCAGACAGACGAGCAGGGTATGGTGTGCTTCGACCTCTACAGAAAGGAGCTAAACCTGTATCTATACCTCCCTACGACCTCAAATCATCCCCCAGGTGTTTTCCAAGGTCTGGTTGTAGGTGAAGCCACGCGCATCGCCAGAAGGACACAAAGTCAGGCCAGCCGGGAAAAACATTGGGCTTTCTTCCGAGAGCGCTTGCGGGAGAGAGGATACAACATCAGCTTCGTGAACAGGCATCTGGCCAGAGTCAGGAACGCCATGCAAAGGGAAACGCGCCACAGAGAGGTAGCACCCGCAAGAAAGTTCCATTTCAAATTGAAGTATCGGAGAGGACTGGATCCGAGAGCCGTCGGCAAAGCTTTGCATAGGCATGCGAGCTTGTTGAATGCAGTTTTCGGCGCTCGATGTCGATGCGTATCGGCCTGGGCAGTCGATAAGAATGTCTTCCGCCAGCGCTACAGATACACTTGGTCCTGAGTTTCTCTTTTTCTTTTTTCCCAGGGGTAGGGCTGAGTCTGAGGGTGGGCCCTGGGTTTTTTTGCAATCCTTCGTTCAAGTGAGGGCGGGGGGGCACGATTTGTTGCCCCTCCCGGCGGCAGAAGCAGCAGTCATCCAATACAGGGGTGTTGTTGAGAGATCGCCGCATGCATGCATGTGTTTTTGTTTGCCGTATCGCATTGCACGCAGGATTGTGTCGATCATGCACTTGCTGTGTTCGCATGCCGCTGCCATTTTCATTCGAGTCCTGACGAGCCCCAGCAGGGGCGAAACGTTGACACGCGTAGTGAAAAGGCACGGGCTTGAGAGCGCCATACGAGTAAGGTGTGCGTGGCAGGAAAGGGGCGGGGAGCACAGGCCGCGCGAGAGGGCACGGTGTCGCTCTCGCCTCGGCGCCGTACTCTCTCTCGCTGAGGAGGAGGAGGAGGAGGAGGAGGAGGAGGAGGAGGAGGAGGAGGAGGAGGAGGAGGAGGAGGATCTCTCTCTCTCTCTCTCTCTCTCTCTCTCTCTCTCTCTCTCTCTTTCTGGAGAGTTACGCCGTCGCTGTAGCGCGGCACGCTTCTCTCCCACACCAAGTCGCCGATGCGCGAGCGGACGAGAGCGTGTCGCTCTCGCCCAGGCGCCGCGCAGATGTCGCTCGAACGTCGGGTTGTCGCTCCAGCGTGGCGCTTCTTTGTCACTCGCCAAGCTTGGGGGGCCCCGCGCGAGCGGGCGACTTGGCCCCCTCGCCCATGCGACGTGCACGTGTCGCCTGGAATGGGAGTGCCCGCAGCGACGCGGCGCGCGCCTCGGTCGCCGACTCGCGCGACAGCGGCAGCGAGGCCGCGCGAGAGCGGGCGAGAAGCTGTCCTCGCCCAAGAGCCGCGCATGTTGTGTGTGAAAGCGGCAGTGCTGTGCCAGCGCGGTGTATCTTTCGTCTTGGCCGCGATCATCGGAAGTTGTACCTCTCCCGCCCTTGGGCGGCCTGCGAAGTGTTCTCTTCGCCTTGTCGTCGGAAACGAAACGGGACCGCGCGTGAAAGCTTTCATCTCGCTAAGTGGGAACGTGTCCCAATATTACGGTCAAGGCGCGCCACATGTTTCATTCTCTCTCTCTCTATCCTTCTATCTCTCTCTTTATTTATCTCATTGTCGTGGTTCTCTCTCTCTCTCTCTCTTTTCCTCTTCTCTTTCTCTCTCTCTTTCTCTCTGTGTATATATATATATATATATATATATATGTGTATCCCCTTGTGTTTTGTCTCTCTCTCTCTCTCTCTTTCTCCCTTGGAAAAAAAATAAAAATGTTTGTTGTTCTCTGCTTCTCTCTCTCTCTCTCCCTTCCCCCCTCCCCCCCTTGTTCTGGCTCTCTCTCTCTCTCTCTCTCCCTCTCTCTCGGAAGAGGCTCTTTTCGCGCGCGCGCTTGGACGAGTTGCGAGGGGGGTACGACCCCCTCCTCCCCGTCCCCCGCATACCTCGCGCCAGCTGGCTGCGACGACGACGCCGACGACGACGACGATCTCGGCGGCGCCTCACCCGTCCCGCCCGCCCCCGCCCGCGTGTCCCGCCCGCCCGTCCGACCGACCTGCCCGCTTCCATCGGTTGCCCGCCCGACCGATCTGTCGTCTTCGTCGTCGTCTGCCAGCGGCGAGCGTGGGAGGGGGCGGGGTGTTGTTGGTCCTCGCCCCCCCTCCCCCCCCCCCTGCACCACCATCCCCCCCGTTTCGGGAGGGGGGTCCCCCTGTTGCGGAGGGGGCCTCGGGATTTCTGCTCGAGGGGGGATGGGGGGTCTTCCGTTTTCCAAGACAGCCCTGTTCGAGGGCAGCATTCCAAGGCGAGCGAACCTAAAACGCGCTCTTGTCTTTCTCTCAGTGCTCCTGCCTTTTGCCCCGCTGTCGGGGACACGCAAGGCTCGAGTTCGCTGGATCTCGGGTTTGCCCACGCTTTTGGACGAGCGCGTCTTGGATTTGACGGTCCAGTTGTCGTAAGATGATTGCAGCGGGAACCCGCGTCAAATTTCAGATTTGGTCGCGTCATTTTCATGATGGTCCCGTTCAAGCAGTGGCGAAGCGTCCTGGCTCGCCTATAGGCCCACCAAAGAAAGTTCTGAGAACCTTTTGTGGTTTGCACGAAATGTTCTTAGAACCCTTCGAGCTGGGACGGTCTTGTTTAAACTCACTGGGTTCATGTTTCAAGAGCATTGTTTTGGTGATTAGAACATTTGGGGGCTCCGAGAGCGTTTCGTGGTAGGCCGATTGGAATGCCGGGACGGTCGGTCCTTGCTCAACCCGTCGGGCCAGCCCGAGTCCCCCTGACCCGAGTCTTACGTCCCCCAGATTGGTCGACGGCCCTGCGACCCGGTCCTGCTGCTTCTCCCGCCCTCGGCGGGCTCGCCCCGCCCACTGGCGGAGCGGCGGCAGCGCGGGCACGGGCACGGGCTCGGAAGGCCCCCTGTCGGCGGCGCGCAGAGGGGAGCAGGGGGAGGGGGGAGGCTTCTCAGAAGCACCCCTGCTTCTTAGAAGGCGCGGGCCTTCCATCCACCGACAAGGAGCGCGCCTTCTAAGTAGCTGGGGTGCTTCCAAGAAGCCTTCCCCCCTCCACAATTACTCAGTATGAATACCACTCTCCCTCTTCCCCTGGTGACGTCTTTTGCGTATTCGCCCCCCCCCCGCGTACTGCTTTTTTACACACGATTCCCCGGAGTTGGGTTTTCGCCTGCGTTTTTTTCAAAATGCTGCTCTCGCTGAGGCGCGGGCCTCATTTCTGCTCCCGAATCGTTCCGAATCGTGCTCCCGCTGCAGCGTGGGCCTCATTTTCGGATCGGTGTTTTGCCTCCGTCGTTCAGGATGGCGTTCTCGCCCCAGCGCGGGCCTCTTTCTCGCGCGCCCATCCGCCCGCCACCACCACGCCCCGCCCCGCCGCACGCACACCCACCGCCACTTCCACCCACCAACGCACGCACGCACGCACGCGCACCACCACCGCGCACCGCCACCACCACCGCACTACCCCACCCACCACCACCACGCTACACCGCGTCACACCACACCACACGCGCGCACACACAGACACGCACGCACGCACGCACGCACGCACGCACGCACGCACGCACGCACGCACGCACGCACGCACGCACGCACGCACGCACACACACACACACACACACACACACACACACACACACACACACACACACACACGCACACACACACACACACACACACACACACACCACCGCCACCACCACCACCGCCATCACGCACGTACGCACCTGGCCCACCACCAAACCACCAAGACGCCACACCACGTCACACCACAGCACACGCGCACACACGCACACACACATACACACCACCACCACAACAACCACAACCACGCACACACGCACGCACGCACGCGCACCACCACCCACTACGCACACGCGCGCGGAGCCACAGGTCCGCTACGACACGCGTCCGCGGATAGAGAAAATCAGCGCCATGGTAAGGGATGGGAGGGAGGGGTAGGATGTCAGATGTTGACGCGAGCGCACCTAACTTGCCCTACCCCCCTCTGCGCGCCGCCAACAGGGGGGCAGGCAGGAGTAGATTCGCTGTTGTTGCCCTCGTGGTCGTGCGACGGCTCATTTCGGCGGCGAGCGAGGAGGTGGAGTGAGGAGGAGAAGGCCCTCTCAGAAGGCGGCGGGGCTTTTCAGAAGCCCCCCCGCCTGCTGAGAAATTTTCGGTGTCCTCAGGGAAGGCTTTGAAAATTTCTCAGAAGGCCAGGGGACTCCCGAGCCTTCTGAGAAGGCCCGTCCCTGCTCATTTCCCCCCCCCCCGGCGCGTCGCCAACTTGCGATCACGCGACGGTTCATTGACGTCGTACATCGTAAAGTCGAGGCTAATTAGTAGGTCGAAACTGCCGAGTCAACGGTATCCTCGTGTCCTGTGCGTTCGCGACCCGTGCCTTCTACATTCCAATGGCAGTGTGGCCCTCGGAAGGCTCTCGTGTCCTCTCGCGTGTGGTCTCCAATCAGCTCCGACGGTACACCGAAGCTCGAGTTCGTGCAAGACTGAACGGGTCACGCTGTGACGGAGACCAGGTTCCGCGCCTTCATAGCAGGAGTCTTCGGTGCGTCTGCGCCCTCCTGCTCCGTATTCTTCATACCTCTGCTGACCTCAGCCTCCACTTCCAGCTTGTGATCCTCGGCGGCCCCCGAGGCCATCCGATTTCCAGAACTCGACCTCGTGGACCCGCCGATGCCGTCCGGTTAAACCGGAGGACCCGCCCTTGGCGAGGGTTCGGGCAGGAGCAGAGTCCGGAGGAGCAGAGTGGTGGTCCGTTGTTGTCAAGGGTGCCGGCGATGCGTGTTGTTTTTGCCGTGGACTCCGCCGCTGTTTTCAGTCCGACATCGTTCTGGACCCCAACGGCGTTCTGGACCCCTTACAGGCGTGTTAAATTCTGCCCATGCTTTCAACTCCTCTGCTGGTTTCCATGTTGCCCCGCTTTCAGACTTGCTCCTGCTTTCAATTCCTCCCATGTGGTCAAGCATGCTGCTCGTGCTCAATGTTGCCCAGCTCTGGCTAGAGATGATATCCGGGTGCCTACAGAAAAATCCCGCCAGCGTGCCAACCCGACACTTCGAGTGGTGTTTGTTCAGATATTGATGATGAGGATGAGGGTGATGAGGATGATGAGGATGATTATGATGTTGATGATGATGGTGATGTTGATGATGGTGGCGGTGGTGGTGATAATGATGCTGAGGCTGCCGATTGCGATGATGATGTTGATGATGCTGGTGGTGGTGGTGCTGATAATGATGAGCATGGTGATAATGGTGATGATGATGATTGTGAGCATGATGCTGATGCTGATGATGATGATGGTGATGGTGATGGTGATGATGATGAGGAGGAGGAGGAGGAGGAGCATGAGGATGGCGATGATGACGATGGTGATGATAATGATGACGATGCTGATGGTAAATAATATCATGCTGATGATGATTATGATGTTGGTGATGTTGGTGGTGGTGGTGATGAGGATGAAGAGGAAGATGAGGACCAGGATGAGGATGATGATGATCATGATGATGATGGTGATGACGGTGATGATGATTATGATGATGATGATGATGATGTTGATGACGATGACAATGATGATGGCGATGGCGCACTGATGATTATGCTGATGACGTCGTTGCTGATAATGATGGTGATGATGCTGATGATGATGGTGATGCTGATGCTGATGGTGATGGTGATGATCATGAGTATGCTGATAATGGTGGTCATGATGATGACGATGATGATGATGATGATGATGCTGATGATGCTTATGATGATAATGATCGTGATGATGAGGATGATGATTATGATGAGGATGATGATGGTAATGATGTTGACGACGACGACGACGATGTTGAGGTGGAGGAGGAGAAGCAGGGGCAGGAGTAAGAGCAGGAGTCGCACGAGCAGCAGCAGCAGCAGCAGCAGTAGCAGCCGTCTTGGCGGCTTTGATACCCCTTTTCGACCGCCTTGGCAACCTTCATGGTCCCCAGGGAGACGCCACACCCACCCAAGATGCCCGATATCAGTCTATGCGCCCTCTTGGGCTTTCTTGAGGCCGTCTTGCGCGCTTGTGAACTAATGTTGGAGGTCTCATGGGGCCTCTTGACGCGATATTCAAGGCCTCCTGGGCCGTCCTGGGCTGACGGAAGCCCCGAAACGTGACAATCACATGAACAATGAACCAATTAAGGCAGCCCATTGGCTTTTCCCCACCATCTTGTGGTGGCGGGTCCTCGTTTTTTAAAATAGCGCCCCGCGTCTCCTCTCCTCATCTCCTCCACGCTCCCCCTCCCCTCCTCCTCCCTCCTCGCGTCATCCCCCTCAGTTTGGCACACCCCTGACACGTTTCGTGGCCCCATTGTGAGCTCCACCAAAGGCCCAAATGCCAGCGTTCGCATGCGGCCACCGCGCCCATCCTGGCACACCCCTCACACGTTTCGTGGCCCCACAGGGAGCCCCACCGAAGGCCCAAATGCAAGCGTTCGCAATCGACCACCGCACCCATTTTGACACACCCCTCACACGTTTTGTGGCCCCGCAGGGGCCCAAACCGAAGGCCCAAATGCCAGCGTTCGCATGCGGCCACCGCGCCCATCCTGGCACACCCCTCACACGTTTCGTGGCCCCACAGGAGCCCCACCGAAGGCCCAAATGCCAGCGCTTGCATGCGGCCACCGCGCGCATTTTGGCACACCCCTCACACGCTTCGTGGCTCCATAGGGAGCCCCACCGAAGGCCCAAATGCAAGCGTTCGCAATCGACCACCGCACCCATTGTTGCCCCCTCTCCCCCCCCTCACACGCTTCGTGGCCCCACAAGGAGCCCCACCGAAGGCCCAAGTGCCAGCGTTCGCATGCGGCCACCGCACCCATCCTGGCACACCCCTGACACATGTCGTGGCTCCATAGGGAGCCCCACCGAAGGCCCAAATGCAAGCGTTCGCATGCGGCCACCGCACCCATGTTGGCACACCCCTGCCACGCTTCGCGGCCCCATTGGTAGCATGCCAGCGTTCGCATGCGGCCACCGCACGCATTTTGGCACACTCCTCACACGCTTCGTGGCTCCATAGGGAGCCCCACCGAAGGCCCAAATGCAAGCGTTCGCAATCGACCACCGCACCCATTTTGGCACACCCCTCAAACGCTTCGTGGCCCCACAGGGAGCCCTACCGAAGGCCCAAATGCAAGCGTTCGCATGCGGCCACCGCACCCATCCTGGCACACCCCTGCCACATGTCGTGGCCCCACAGGGACCCCACCGAAGGCCCAAAATGCAAGCGTTCGCATGCGGCCACCGCACCCAGTTTCGCACACCCCTCACACGTGGCGTGGCCCCACAGGGACCCCCACCGAAGGCCCGAATGCCGGCGTTCGCACGCGGCCACCGCACCCGTTTTGGCACACCCCTCACGCGTTCCGCGGCCCCACAGGAAGCCCCACCGACGGCCCAGACGCCAGCGGTCGCATGCGGCCACCGCACCCATTTTTGGCACACCCTTCACACGTGTCGTGGTTCCATATTGAGCCCCAACGAAGGCCCAAATGCCAGCGTTCGCATGCGGCCACCGCACCGATTTTGGCGCACCCCTCACACGTTTCATGGCCCCACAGGGAGCCCCACCGAAGGCCCAAATACCAGCGTTCGCATGCGGCCACTGCACCCATTTTGGCGCACCCCCCACACGTTTGGTAGCCCCATAGGGAGCTCGTCCGAATGCGGTACATACAACGACGGTGTTCACAAGTGCATATGGTTGGGTCCTTCGTCAGGCGAATCACCTTGAAGCCATTTTGGGCAGTCAGGAGGCCATCGTGGGCCGTCTTGGCGCCAATTCAGGCTGTGTTAGATGCATGTCAGGCCGTGTTGGTGGCTTTGATGGCCCTCTTCGGCCGTCTTGGCAGCCTTCGTGACCCCCAGGATGACGCCATGGCCGCCCAGGGACCCCCGGGAGCAGGGGTGGTGCGCGAGACCGGGCGCGACGTGAGGGGCGGGGAGGGTCCCTGAGAAGACTGCACAATCCCTGCCAGGCAGCACCTGGCATTCCTCACGACTGACCGTGCCAGGAGGCACGGTGGCGGATATCCCATGCCTTTTCTGTTTTCAATTCCGCCCCGTTCGCCCCCTTCTTTACTCCCCACATCATGAGGGGGGATCTTGTTGTCCCAAAACACCCTCTCCTTCCTCCCTCCCCCTCCTCGCGCCAGCTCCACGTCCCCATTCTCTCGCAAGCTCCTCTTCATCCACGAAGGCCCTGCCAGACCGCAACAGGGCATCATCCTTTAAGAGCGTTCGTGCTCCTCCCACCCCTCCAGGCAGGCCCCGCCGGACCACGACAGGGCATCGGAGTACCATATTGTTTTCCAGATGTCGTGCCCCTGCCACCCCCCATGGAGGCCCCACTAGACTGCGACAGGACATCCGAGTACCATCCAGACCGCGGCAGGGCCTCGGAGTACAGCATGATTTTCCAGGGTTCGTGTCCTTCCCACCCCTCCAGGGAGGCCCCGCCAGACCGCGGCAAGGTCTCGGAGTTCAATATTATTTACTAGGTGTCGTGGCCCTCCCACCCCTCCAGAGGGTCCCCGCCAGACTGCGGCAGGGTGTCGGAGTACCATATATTTGCAAGTGTTCATGCCCCTTCCACCCCGCCATGCAGGCCCCTTCTTGACGCTTCGCGTAGCCCACCAGCCTATCCAGAAACGATGCTCAGGCGAATTGCCCTTGTCAGGGATGTGGCGGGGCATGCAGTGGGGGAGAGGGCTGTGGACGCCGTTTTCGGAGTCTCTTCGGATCTCTCTTAAGAGCTTATTGGGGTCCTCTCGGGGCGTCTTGGGTGCCTCTTGGCGGTCCCAGGGGCCTCTTGGAGCGCCTTGGGTGCCTCGGGGGAGCCTCTTGGGGCTTCTTGGGGTTCTCTTGGAGGCACCTCTTGGGGACGTCTTGAAGCATCCTTGTCGCCTCTTGGGGCACTCTTGAGGGTCTTTGGGGCCATCTTGGAGGAGATCGATCAAAGAATGGCGGGGGCCCAATTCGCCCACCCCCCACCCGCCCCCCACCCCCAGGAGGCCCAAAAAGAGCCCTATCGAGAGCTTCACGGATTGAGGATCACCCTGTTTCAAAATGTGGTTCTCGCCTTAGCGCCGCGCATATTCGTTCATACAAGTTGCAAGAGCTTCACGGATTGAGGATCACCGGTTTTCAAAATGTGGTTCTCGCCTTATCGCCGCGCACATTCGTTGTCAAAGTCTGTATGAGTTTATCGGATTGAGGACGGTTCCTTTTTTAAACAGTGGTTCTCGCCTTAGCGCCGCGCACATTCGTTCATACAATTTGGCGCACACTCGTTCATACAAGTTGCAAGAGTTCCACGGATTCCCACGATCAACGTACCAGAAATGGTATTCCAGAAGGATTCAGGATTTTGCGGGCGCAACAGTTACGTTGATTCGCGGTGTTGAAATCCTCTGAATGGCGTTTTGGCACGGTCCAGGATCGTCAAGACGCAATCGTCGGGTTGATCCGTGGCGTTGGAATCCCGAGAACAATGTTTTGGCATGCCCCCGGGTCTTCAAACGGTTGACTTCCAACGAAGCAGATCCTTGAATAGACATGAACTTTTGTAGGGGCCTATGAAGAGGGAGCTTGGAGGGAGGGTGTATTCCAACATCGTTGATGGTTCCTGGGTTTAAACTGGTCCTCCTCCTTCTCCCCCTCCTCCTCCTGTCCCCTTCACCTCCTCTCCTCATCTTCCTCTCCTCCTCCGCCTCCTCCTCCTCGTCTCCTCCTCCGCCTCATCCTGCCTCCTCCTTCTCCTCCTCCCTTACTTCTGTTCCTCCTCCCCTCCTCATCGTCACCTTCCTATCCTCTTCTCTCCGATGAGGAGGAGGAGGAGGAGGAGGAGGGACAGAAGAAGGCACATGATGATGACGGATGCTGATGATGATGATCATCATCATCACCATCATCATGGTGACGATGCTGGTGGTGGTGATGATGGTGGTGGTGGTGCTGATGATGACGGTGATGAGGAGGAGGAAGAGGAGGATGAGGATGGCGGTTGAGAAGGTGATGGCGAGGATGTTGTAGCTGATGATGGTGGTAGTGGTCATGATGATGACGACGACGGTGGTGACGCTGACACTGACGCTGACGCTGACGCTGCTGATGAGGATCATGATGATAAATGACGATGATGATGTTGATGGTGATGATGATGCTGATTCTGCTGTGATGATCATGCTGATCGTGATGATGATGATGGTGATGACACTGATTATGATGATGGTGTTGATGGTGCTGTTGCTGGTGAATAGTATTAGGATGAGGGTGATGAGGATGAGGATGAGGATGATGTGGGTGATGATGATAATGATGATGATAATGATGATGATGATGATGATGATGATGATGATGTCGATGACGATGATGATGATGATGACGATGATGATGATGATGATGACGATGACGATGATGATGATGATGATGATGATGATGATGATGATGATGATGATGATGATGATGATGATGGTGATGATGATGATGATGATGATGATGATGATGATGATGATGATGATGATGATGATGACGATGATGGTGGTGGTGGTGGTGGAGGAGGGTGGTGCTGGTGAGGAGAAGGAGGCGGGGGGAGAAGGAGGAGGCTGGGGATCCGGAAAATAGGAGGCCGAAGGAGGAGGAGGAGGAGGAGGAGGAGGATGGAGGATGGAGGATGGAGGATGGAGGAGGGTGACAGAAGGAGGAGGAGAAGAGGAGGAGGAGGAGGAGGAAGAGGAGGAAAGCACAGGGAGGAGGAGGGGGAAGGGGAGTAAAAGGGGGATGGGGAGGAGGAGGAAGTGGAAGAGCAAGAAGCGGATGAGGAGGAAAATGGGGGGGGGAGGGGAGCAGGGAGAGAAGGAAGGGGAGGAGAGGGAGGGGGAAGAAGAGGAGGAGGAGGATTAGGAGGAGTCTGCTCCCCACCCCTCCTGCGCGCCGAGGCCGGCGAGCGCCGCCCCCACGCGAGCGTGATGCCAGCAGCCTTGCAAGACGTGCCTAGGAATATTCGGTACTTGTCGAGATGAAGTCGCCACCGTCCGCAACGAAGTGACATGAGATTCGCCTTCTGGTCTGCACGGGATCTGCGCCATATATCAACATATGCATACAAACATACATGCATACATACATATATACACATATGTGTATATATATATATATATATATATATATATATATATATTCGCGCGCAACGTACAGACCGTCCCCGTGCTTGCCTTAAGAATAGTTTCTACCTACACTTACATCTACATATACGAATGTATGTTTCCCAATGTTGTGTACACCAACATACACATAACTATATACATGTAATTATGTGTATAAGCATATACACACATGAAAACAATGTTTGCATGTAATGATTATTACTTCTCTTACTGAGGAATTGGATGGGTCTGGCGAGGATGTTCCACATTGCCGTCGCGTGGCCGCCCCGGGCGCTGGGTTGGTCTAGCATTGTCTCGCCACGCTGACGCCCGTGACCGCCTCGCGGCAGCCTCGTGCGCTGAGAGGGTCCAGGAAGGTTTCGTCACGTCGCCGCCGGTGGCCGCCTCGTGGCCGCCTCTCTCGCCGGGTGCGTCCAGCGAGGTTTCGCCACGTTGCCGCCCGTCGCCGACTCGTGCGCTGGGCGGGCCCTGCGTGGTATCGCAACGTTGCCGGCAGTGATCGCCTCGTGGCCGCCTCGCGCGCTGGGTGGACCCGGCGAGGTTCTGCCAGGTTGCCGCAGCGCGGACGACAGCGTCGACAAACGACGATGAGGTGGTTGACAGAATTCATAAGGTCGCGAGTATTGTTGCAGCGTGGAGCTCCTCCGATAATTTCATCGCGTTCATTGGCGCGCGGAAGGCTCGTCGCGCGGGCAAAGTCCATCTTGCAGGAAACAGCGCGGTCGACGGCGTCGACAAACGACGATGAGAATGATCGCGACGTTTCCGACGGCAATGACGACGACGGCGCCCAGCATGGCACTGAGCGCGCGAGGGCATTGGAATAAGTTCAGACGCGCGCGCGAAGGCCTCCTTGGACAAGAGAATTGGAAGCAAACGTAGGGCTTCCTAGGAATCCGCAAGAGCGCGCGGCATGAAATTTTGAAAACTCTCGGTTGGAAAACCTATGGGGTCTTTATACTCTTACGGTGAATTTTCAGCGAAAACAACGGTTTTGTCTGTCAGGCTTTCGTCTTCCGCGCGCGCACGTGGCCCGCATGGTATTATGTCACGTGGAGTTGTGCATCGTGGAACATGAACAGGGAGGCAGAATCACATGTAAGTTTCAGCGCCCCAGTGGGAGCGGCAATCCCCGGGAGGGGGGGGGTGGAGTCTGACTTCTCTTGATCACCCTGCACCACAGTCGCGCAAACACCCCGCCCTCCAACCCGCATCTCGGTCGGCAAAACTCATGAGGTCGCGACTGCACTTACAGCGTGAAGTTCGTCCGCAAACTTCAGCGAGCTCACTGGCGCGCGGGCCCTCGCGGCGCGGGCAAAGTCCATTTTGCGGGAGATAGCGCGGGCGACAGCATCGACAAACGACGATGAGGTGGTTGACAGACTCATCAATAAGGTCGCGGACGCAGTTGCAGCGCGGGGCCCCTCCGATCATTTCGTCGCGTTCATTGGCGCGCGGAAGGCTCGTCGCGCGGGCAAAGTCCATCTCGCGGGAAACAGCGCGGGCGATGGCGTCGACAAACGACGAGGAGAATGATCGCGACGCCCCCGGCGGCAACGACGACGACGACGGCGCCCAGCATGGCATGATTTGAGAGGGGTCACGCCTCCGGCAAGCGCGCGAGGGCATGGGAATAAGTTCGACAGGAAAGATGAACAACAGGATTGGGTTTCGTAGGAATCCGCAAGAGCGCGCGGGGTGAAATATGGGAAGCCCCATTGACAAACATTGTTTCCCGCTGAATTCGCAACGAAAACAACGGTTTTGTAAGGACTTCGTTTGGCTCGCGCGCGCGTGGTCCGCATGGGGTCATTACATGGGGATTCGTGTATTCGGCTCCTTTTAGATTTACGCATGCGCGCCGCATTGTATTATTTGACAGGAGTGACGGGGGTGGGGGTGGGGGGGGCGACGCCGGGACTTGCTGGGGCGCTATGAATTCATATCGAAAACGAACGAGGAGGTAAAATCACACGTAAATTGCAACGCCCCAGGGGAGAGCGGCAATTCTGGGGGGGAATCGAATTTTTTTTGAGCAATGAGAATTGAGAGAGAAGAATACATTGCAAGCGTGCCATCTTCATCGCGCAATCTACGTCGCGCAGTCTGGGTCGTGCAATCCTTGCGAAGCAATGTATGTGACAGGACACGCGCTGTGCAGTTTACGCGCTGCAATCTAGGGCCCCCCACCTACGTTGTGAAACATTTTCCGTTCAATCGACGCGGCGAAATTCACGCGATGCGCAGTGCGTGCGGCGCGAACGACATGGCGGAATATTTGCGGCGCGATCCAAGCGGCGCAACTTACGCGGTGCAATTCACCAACGCTCACTTTGAAGTTGCCCACTCCACTGCTCGCGCAAACCACCCGCAACTTGGTTTGCAAGCCCCATGCAGAAGCGATTGCGATGAAGTGCTGGGCGTTGGCAGGTGCATCCCTGCGACCGCGCTGGCCCGCGCATGCTCGCGCGCGCAGCGGCCGGCTAGTTTGGCGCGACCAGCGCGAACGCGGTGGCGCTGACTGCTCGGCACATCCCAGCAGGCACTTCAGTGCGAGTCGGCGACTTTGGGCGGGCGCGGTATCATGGCAACGTCGACAACGGTAGACGCGATTAGGATAGTAGCGATGCTGGCGACGACGCTCACAGCGTCGGCGGGGCAGCCAGTGACGGCGCCGATGCCGATCGCGCCGACGACGACGACGGCGTCTTCGCGTCGGCGATGAAAGTTTGAGAAGGAATTTGAAATGCGCGCGCGGCAGACGCGCGAGAGTGCCTCGCATGGTATCATTCGACGCGGGTCGTGCCATCCCAGCACGCGCGCAAGGACGTTCGAATGATTTCGACATGCGCGCGTGCGAAGCCCGCTTGTTCGCATGTTATGAGCACGCTGTCAGGAAACAAATAAACGCATGGCCTCCCCAAGAAAACGCAAAAGCGCTCGCGCTTTTGTTTGAGACCCGCTTTTCGAATCCATATTGTTGCATAATTTTTGGGCGCTCGATTTTGAAATCCTTCCGAAACCAGCGGTTCTTGAAAGGATTTCGGCACGCGCGCGCGACGACGCGCGCGCTTCGGTCAGTTTTTTTTTGCACGGGGTTCCCGCGACGGCACGCGCGCAAGGGCGTTCGAACGATTTCGACAGGCGTGCGCGCGAAGCCCGTTTGGTGGCATTCCTCAGACAATCTTAACACGTATGGTTCTCCTAAGTATTCGCAAGAGCGCGCGCGTGCTTTTTCTCTGGGGGGGGGGGAATCCGCGCTGTGAAACACAGCGCTGTTGCATGCGTTTGGGCGTTCGATTTTGACGCCCTTCCCAGGCCGAAGGTTTGAATGATTTCGGCACGCGCGCGCGACGACGCGCGCGCGTGCATGTCGTTCCACGTTTTGCCGGGGACGCTTAAAAAGCGCATGATTGCTGGAGAAGCGAGCGCGCGCATAACATTTTGCGCAGAGGGCGGCGGGGGGGGCGATGCTGGCCCCCAAGGGAGGGCGCGCGTCGCATGTAGGATGGGCCATGGGGCAGAAGCACATGCAAATTGCAATGCGAAAAGGGGCCCTTTAAGTCCAGAGGGGGGAGGGGGGTGGGATTTATGTGTTGCTTAAAAAGGAAAGTTAACGCGGTGAAATACACGCGGCGCGATTACTTTCTATTCGCAGTGAGTTGCCCAAGTTGCCCACCCCATTGGAAGACCTCATGCAGCGGCGATTGCGATGAGCGCTTGGCGCTGGCTGGTGCATCTGCGGCCGCGCCAGCCCGCGCATGCGCGCGCGCTGGCGCCTGGGCAAAGAGAGCCCACGCCCATGGCGGGAAGGCGACGCAACGCGATAACAACCACAACTCCAGAATGTCCTTGCTCCGCACCCCCCCCCCACGCCCAAATTTGAAGCGTCCGCGTTTTGTCCATGGCCTTTGGCCAGCCGCCTAAACCCATCAACTTCGAGTGCTGGGGAAGGGGGGGCACGCGCGTTGGTCCGTCGCACTGCAATGACCCAAGGTCTTGGCGAGACACGCGTGGGCATTTTTAGGCCACCCACGGGCGCAGCGACTGGGTAGTTTGGCGCGACCGATGCGGCCGCGGCGGCGCTGACCGCTCGGCGCGTCCCAGCGGGCATTTCAGTGCGAGTCGGCGACTTGGGAGGGCGCGGTATCATGGCAACGCCGACAACTGTAGACGCAATGACGATGATAGTAGCGATGTTGGTGACGATGCTGACAGCGACAACGGCGCGGCCAGCGACGGCGCCGATGCCGATCGCGCCGACGACGACGACGGCGTCTTCGCGTCGGCGATGAAAGTTCGAGAAGGAATTCGAAGTGCGCGCGCGGCAGACGCGCGAGAGTGCCTCGCATGGTATTATGCGACGCGGGTCGTGCCATCCCAGCACGCGCGCAAGGACGTTCGAATGGTTTCGACATGCGCGCGCGAAGCCCGCTTGGTAGCACTTTCTGAACATATTGAAAAACCTATGGTTGTCTTGCGAATTCGGAAGAGCGCGCGCGCTCTTTTTTTGTTTGAAAATCAGCGTTGCGAAGCCATGTGTGTTTGTATGTTTTTTGGGCACTCGACTTGGACATCCTTCCGAAACTCAAGGTTGTTGAAGGATTTCGGCATGCGCGCGCGCTTCGTTGCATTATGTTGCAGAGGTTTCTCGCGACGGCACGTGCGCAAGGGGGGTTCGAACGATTTCGACGCGCGGGCGCGCGAAGGCCGCGTGGTAGCATGTTACAGACATATTGAAAATATATGGTGCTTGTTCGTTTGGTTTTTAAGCGCGCGTAAGTTTTTTTGTTGCGCGGTGTTTCGCACCGAAGGTCCCCGATGGGTTTCGGCATGCGCGCGACGACCCGCGTGCGCGCACTTCGTCTCATTGTTTTGGAAGCGGCT